ACTTCGATTCCGTACTAAGCCAATAGTCTCATTGCAGTTTTGAAGTGGCAGCACGGTAGTAATCCTGTAGGTGCAGCGGCAGTACCCAGACACTGCAGAACAAAAAATGGCGAAGGACCCAACCATATGCAGTTGTGAATACCGCACAGATGAACATCCTTTTCGGTGGCGCCACCTCTGGGTAGGGGAGACGCATGCGAACACCCCCACTGGGGCCTTCGGTGGGGCCACCTATGGGCCTACGAAACGCTGCCCTGGGCGGGGGAACTGCATGCGGGCACCCCCGCTGGGGCCTTCGGTGGAGCTCCCTATGGGGCCACGAAACGCTGTCCTGGGCGTGGCGGACGCATGCGGGCACCCCCACTGGGGCCTTCGGTGGAGCTCCCTATGGTGCCACGAAACGCTGCCCTGGGCGTGGCGGACGCATGCGGAGCTCCCTATGGTGCCACGAAACGCTGTCCTGTGCGTGGGGTACGCATGCGGGCACCACCACTGGGGCCTTCGGTGAAACTGCCTATGGGGCCACGAAACGCTGCCCTGGGCGTGGGAGACGCATGCGGGCACCCCCACTGGGCCCTTCGGCGGAGCTCCCTATGGGGCCGCGAAGCGCTGTCCTGGGCGTCGGGGACGCATGCGGGCACCCCCACTGGGGTCTTCGGTGGAGCTCCCTATGGGACCACGAAGCGCTGTCCTGGGCGTGGGGGACGCATGCGGGCACCCCCACTGAAGCCTTCGGTGGAGCTCCCTATGGGGCCACGGAAACGCTGTGCTGGGTGGGGGAGACGCATGCGGGCACCCCCACTGAGGCCTTCGGTGGAGCTCCCTATGGGGCTACGAAACGCTGCCCTGGGTGGGGAGCGCATGCTGGCACCCCCACTGGTGCCTTCGGTGGAGCTCCCCATGGGGCCACGAAGCTCTGCCCTGGGTAGGGGACCCGCATGCGGGCACCCCCACTGGGGCCTTCGGTGGAGCTCCCTATGGGGCCACGACACGCTGTCCTGGGCGCGAGGTCGCATGCGGGCACCCCCACTGGGGCCTTCGGTGGAGCTCCCAATGGGGCTACGAAACGCTGCCTGGGCGCGGGCGGGGGGAAACGCACGCGGGCACCCCCAATGGGGCCTTCGGTGGAGCTCCCTATGGGCCACGAAGCGCTGCCCTGGGCGTGGGGAGCGCATGCGGGCACCCCCAATGGGGCCTTCGGCGGAGCTCCCTATGGGGCCACGCTGCGCTGTCCTGGGCGTGGTGGACGCATGCGGGCACCCCCGCTGGGGCCTTCCCCCTCTGGACGCTTTCGGTGGAGCTCCCTATGGGGCCACGAAACGCTGTCCTGGGCGTGGCGGACGCATGCGGGCACCCCCACTGGGGCCTTCGGTGGAGCTCCCTATGGGGCTACGAAACGCTGTCCTGGGCGTGGGGGACGCATGCGGGAGCTCGCTATGGGGCCACGAAGCGCTGTGCTGGGCGTGGGGAACGCATGCGGGCACCCCCACTGGGGCCTTCGGTGGAGCTCCCTATGGGGCCACGACACGCTGTCCTGGGCGCGAGGTCGCATGCGGGCACCCCCACTGGGGCCTTCGGTGGAGCTCCCAATGGGGCTACGAAACGCTGTCCTGGGCGCGGCGGACGCATGCGGGCACCCGCACCGGGACCTTCGGTGGAGCTCCCTATGGGGTTACGAAACGTGCGAGGCGTGTGCCGAGAGCAGGGGCAATGAGGGGGAGGAGGGAGGAGGGGGGAGGGAGAAGCGCGAGGAGGAAGGTTCGCGGGGCGCTGTCTCTTCAAAACGAGGACCCAACACCACAGAATGGTTGGAGGAATAAAGCCTCGCGAAGGACCCAACCATATGCAGTTGTGAATACCGTCTTTGTGAGCAACGCATTCGGTGGAGCTCCCTATGGGGCCACGAGACGCTGTGCTGGGTGTGGCGGACGCTGCGCCCCCCTCCACTGGGGCCTTCGGTGGAGCTCCCTGTGGGGCCACGAAACGCCGTGCTGGGTGTGGCGGACGCATGCGCCCCCCCCCCCCCCCCCACCCACCCCACCCCACCCCCCACTGGGACCTTCGGTGGAGCTCCCTATGGGGCCACGAAACGCTGCGCTGGGTGTGGCGGCCGCATGCGCCACCCCCCACTGGGGCCTTCGGTGGAGCTCCCTATGGGCGTGGCGGACGCATGCGCCCCCCCACCACCACCACCACCACACTGGGACCTTCGGTGGAGCTCACTGTGAGGCCACGAAACGCTGCGCTGGGTGTGGCGGACGCATGCGCCACCCCCACTGGAGCCTTCGGTGGAGCTCCCTATGGGGCCACGAAGCGCTGTGCTGGGTGTGGCAGACGCATGCGCCCCCCTCCACTGGGGCCTTCGGTGGAGCTCCCCATGCGGCCACGAGACGCTGTGCTGGGCGTGGCGGACGCATGCGGGCACCCCCACTGGGGCCTTCGGTGGAGCTCCCTATGGGGCCACGAAACGCTGTCCTGGGCGTGGGGGACGCATGCGGGCACCCCCACTGGGGCCTTCGGTGGAGCCCCCTATGGGGCTACGAAACGCTGCCCTGGGGGTGGGGAGCGCATGCGGGCACCCCCACTGGGGCCTTCGGTGGAACTGCCTATGGAGCCACGAAACGCTGTCCTGGGCGTGGGAGACGCATGCGGGCACCCCCACTGGGGCCTTCGGCGGAGCTCCCTATGGGGCCCCGAAGCGCTGTCCTGGGCGTCGGGGACGCATGCGGGCACCCCCAATGGAGCCTTCGGTGGAGCTCCCTATGGGGCCACGAAGCGCTGCCATGGGCGTGGGGGACGCATGCGGGCACCCCCACTGGCCTTCGGTGGAGCCGCTGTGCTGGGCGTGGGGGACGCATGCGGGCACCCCCACTGGGACCTTCGGTGGAGCTCCCTATGAAGCTACGAAACGTGTGAAGGGTGCGCCGAGAGCAGAGGCAATGAGGGGGGGGGAGGGAAGAGGGGGAGGGAGAAGCGGGAGGAGGAAGAACGCGGGGCGCCGTCTCTCCAAAACGAGGACCCAACACCACAGGATGGTTGGGAAAAAATCATGGAAGGGCTATAGTAGTCGCGCTGCCGTTTTGTAGTAGAAGTGGTCCGCTACTGTAGCAGTGCTCGAGAACAGCAGCAGCACCCTCGAACTGCAATGGTTTCGTGACAGCGATACAAGGAAAGTGCTGTACCATAGCGGAATCGTGCAGTGCAGTACTTAAGCAGTGGCGCTGTAAAGCCGGATTCGGGTGCAGAATTTGTATGAGCAGTGGTGCACGGGTGTCTGCAGTGATTGTACTACAGTGCTGTGGGAGGACTTACCACATGCCGTCTTATGGCAGCACGGTTGAAATTTTCTAAGATTGCAGTGCTGTGGTGGCACTTTGTACGAGTAGTAGTACAGCACGGGGGCGATAGCACTGCCGTGATAGTGTTCAAGAACCGTACTCGTGCTCTGATACTGGCAATGTTACTACTAGAGCTCTAACACTTGAGTGCTCAAGCAGGGTAGCCGTACCATAGTAGTGCAATGGCGTCGTAGTACTGCATTAGCAACACTCCATCGAAGTGAAATACTTCGGTACAGTAGTAGTGATAACGCTAAAGTGGTGGCTGCAGGAGCAGTACAGTACTGCAATACAATAATAGCGCGGCAGCAGGTTAGCACGGACGTACTGTGGTAGTCGTACTAATGTTGTGGGGGGGTAGGTGTGCTCAAGCACTTTAGTTGTAGCACTGCTGCAATGTGGTAATCGTAGTAGTAGTACCCGAGTATCGCAGTAGCTGTAGTAGGGCTGAGGGTCAGGCTAGGCTTTGGCTGAGGCCGAGGCTGAGGCCAGGCTGAGGCTAGGCCTAGGCGCTATGTTAGGCTGACGCTGAGGCTGAGGCTTAGACTGAGGCTTAGGCTAGGCGGAGACTAACGATGGGCGTCGGCTAGGCTGCTCAGGCTGACGCCTAGGTTAGGCGGGGGCTGGCGCTTAGGCTTGGACCGGGCTTCAGGCCAGGCTTCGGCAATGCTTGGGCTGAAACTTCGGCTAGGCAGGCCGCGGCTTGCGCTGAGGCCAGGCGTGGGCTAGACTGAAGCAAGGGCAGAGGCTGAGGCTAGGCTGCGCAGAGCAGAGGCTGAGACTAGGCTGAGGCTGAAGCTAGGTTGAGGCTGAAGCGGAGGCTTACGCTCAAGCCAGGCTTCGGTTCCATTTTGGCGAGGTTTCAGCTAGGCTAGAGCGAAGCTTAGGCTGGGCGCCAGCCGATGTCTAGGCTGAGGACGGCGGAGAGAGAGAGAGAGAGAGAGAGAGAGAGAGAGAGAGAGAGAGACAGAGACAGAGACAGAGACAGAGACAGAGAAAAAGACAGAGGGGAGAGGGGAGAGGGGAAGCAACGCCGAGGGAAAGCACAGCGGGTGTACCGCGACGACACCAGCAGCAAACTGAAGACGCGCTCCGCCCCCCAAAACAAAATCTTGTAAAACGCAGGGTGGGGGATCCGGCCACGAAGCCGGGGCCAGAATGTGAATTCACATGTTGGGAAAGAGGACAATGTGATGTCACACTTTGGAGAAAAGGAAAATGTAAATTCACATTTTGAGAAAATCCCGGGACCCATTCCAAATCTGCTTTCGGGGTCGACAAGTCATCGTTTGGAAACATACGTGATCCTCAATCGCACAATCAAAACACATGCGCACTCGACTTCGCCGCCCCACGCGCGATATGCAAGCATGCCCGCGCGCATGAATGATCATGGATGGACGGCGCTTTTGCCCGCGCGGGCAACGCGCGGGCACGAACGACTGGCCCTGCATGACCACAAACATTGGATGCCGATCATACCCGATCACACACATGAGCGATATATTGCGCATACATTGGCAATTCAGCCACATTGAAGACCCCCTGTTGCACACCCCTTCTTTCACCCTCCAAACGCAGCGCACTGCGGGCCCGGGGGGCCCAGCGGACCCGGCGGACCCAGCGAACTCGGCGGACTCGGCGGACCTGGCGACCCAGCAGGCCCAGCGGAGCCCGCCAACCCTGCGGACCCGGCGGACCTGGCGGACCCGGCGGACCTGGCGGACCCGGCGGACCCGGCGGACCCGGCGGACCCGGCGGACCCGGCGGATCTGGCGGACCTGGCGGACCTCCCTGAGGTCCGACATGTCAATATTTCTGAAAAACTCACAAAATAAACTGAAATATTGAAATTTTGCCCCGGTTGTTCCTTCCAAATACAAACCAATACTTCCCTATATCCATAGATATGTATATATATATATATATATATATAGACATGCGTGCAGTTTACCAAATAACAATAATACAAGCACTATACATTTATTCCTACATAGCCCGATAGATCTACCCCCTCGCAAAACAACACGAGCCCTCCAATCTTCTTCCCATCGCCTGCCCCCGCCCCAGCACAAGCCGCGCTCGCGCGCCCAGCACGGGGCTTCGAGATGCAAGCGGCCCACCATACGGCGCTTCGCGCGCCCACCCTGCGCCCACTTGCGCCGCCCGACCGCGGGGTGGCAGCGCCCGCGGCCGAGACGGAGGCCGCGCCGTTATTTGCCTTGTTATTTTCACTCGCCCCTCCCGCTCGCCCGCTCGGCCCCCTTCCGCTCGCCCCTTCCTCGCCCGATCCATCTTCCTCGCCCGCCCGCCCCCCCCCCAACCACTCTCCCGCGCGCTTCCCCGAGTAGAGCTGAGGGCGAGGCCGCAGGGCACGAGGTCTCGAGCGGGGGAAGTATCCACGAGGAAAGGGAGAGGAGAGGGAAAGGGAGAGAGAGAGAGAGAGAGAGAGAGAGAGAGAGAGAGAGAGAGAGAGAGAGAGAGAGAGAGAGAGAGAGAGGAGAAGGAGAAGGAGAGCCGTCGAGATGATCGACTCGCCCTCGGGCGACGCGGCCATGGCGGAGCAGATCAACGCGACCCCCCACAAACGCACACAGGCCAAAAGGGGGGGGGACTAGAGGAGGGCGGAGGACAGGAGAGGACACGCAGGAGGAGGAGGAAGAGCAGAAGGAGGAGGAGGACACGGAGAGGGAGGAGGAGGAGGAAGAGGAGGAGGAGGAAGAGGACGGCGAGGACGAGGACGAGGAGGAGGAGGCGGAGGAACGAATACGAGGCGAACTCCTACAAAATATGCCATGAACATCGAGCATAGCGCCTCAAGTATGCGGTGAGATCGCGGTAGATTTGCGGCGCGCCTGTGGAAAATACAAGGAAAGTTTGCGGGAAGTTTGCGGGGAGTTTGCGGTGAGTTTGCGGGAAGTCTGCGGGAAGTGCGGGGTGCGCACGTCAAACTGTTGCGTGAATGTAGTGGTGCGTTCGCGTTAAAACGCGACCGTGCCACTACATGCAGCGAACACGAGGGGGGCACAGGGCGGGGGGGGCCGCCCCGCACTCCCAGGCGATCGACAACGCGTTCAAAGACCTCGAGGCGCTGCACGCGAGGGCTCACCCGACCGAGGCCAGCGACAGCGACGACGCCCCCTTGCCCTCAAAGGCCGGGCAACCGCCCTGTTCCATTTCATCCCTGACCCAGTGGACCACCCCACGCCCCCCCACCCCCGCCCCTCACTCCCCCCCCCCCACCCACCCACCCACCCACACCGCACACACACTTCTACCAAAAAAATATGCGGAATCCCGCCACGTGCATGTCAAGCCCTCCCCAATCACCTGCCCTCGCATCACGTTCCCGCTAGCCTGCCCCTCCGCCCAAACTCCAGCACGGCAGGGGCGTTCGTTAGGAATGCGCCCCTGTTGATTCAGATCCCGAAGGGTTCCTCGGATGAGGGTGGAGGTTGTATCCACGCGAGGGCAAGCCTCAATCGGCATTCCTCTGGCGGCTTTCAGACCCTGTTTTCCTTACAAATCAATAAGCCCTTATCCACTGCCGTCGCCGTGGGCCGCAGGAGGGGTTGATGTTTTGAGTCTAAGGTACCCCTCCAGACGTCTGATCACGCCACCAACCCATCACATCCTGTACTCCCCGCAATCACCATCACTCGTCCTCAGGCCCCCCCATCCCTCCGACCTCCGCGATGCACTCCTCTGGTCCTCCACTCGCCCTGCCCAACCCCGCCTCCCAGAGTGGGCCCGAGCAGACGGGGTCCGAGGATGGCGCCGCGTCGCCGATGCATCAACGATGCGTCGGCGACTTCGGCGACGCATCGGCACCACGGGTGCGCAGGACAAAGCGGGCTCCACATCGAGCCGCATCGCCGGCGGCGGTGCGGCGCGATCCTCCGACACCATCTGCCCTGACCACATCTGGGAGGCACTTCCACCAGTTCCCTCTCAAGCCCCCCCCCCCCGCCCGTCGCACTACGCGCCTCCGCCCCGCCCAGCGCATCACCTCGCATTGCGTATGTGGCCGATTTGGGCTCCGAGATCCGCAAGGCCGCACGATGAAGATGTGTGCGACGGCGCTAGGAGGAGACCAGCTGCGTCTGGAGCGAAGCCCGAGGTCGTCATGAAAAAGGCCAGCAGCCAGCAGCAGGGGGCGGCCGAGCAGTTCCACTACAAGTTCGACAAGGAGACCGATTTGTGCGCTCGATGGCTCGAGGGCTCTCGCAAGAAGGACTGCGAGGAGAGGTGCGTGGAGATGAAGCCAGGCAGCAAGGACCTCGACCCAATGGCCGCGGTCTTCAAGGCCGGCTCCGCGAAGAAGGCGACGCAGACGACGACCAAGAAGTGGACCGAGGACTTCGGCGGCAAGAGCGCGAAGAAGACCGCCCAGAACGACCACGACAACCTGTTCCTCTGTTTCACGAAGTGCGGCGAGCGCGTGGACACCCACCTCCGATGGGATCAGCCCATGGGGAAGCCCAGAGTTCGATATGTACGCCTTCGCTGGGATGGCCATCCTCAGGTCATGTCGATTGACATCGAGAACTCCGCAACCACGGACAAGCCCTAGGGTGGGCGCTGTGACGAGGAGCGCACCAGCATCGTAAAGGCGGCGCGAAGTGGTTGACTCCGATTGCGGAGGAGCTCGCGGGGGGCAAGTTGGACAGAGACGGAGTTGCCGCCCAGAAGGAGCAGCGCCTGGGGGATAAGAAGGGCATCAGGGCGGAGCAGTGCAGCGGCGAGCAGCGAGGCTCCGAGCAGCGAGGAACCAGAGCCGAAACGGGCCGCCAAGATGAAGCGGCCAGCTGCAGCAGCTTTCGCGGCAGCTGCGACCACGCAGGCAGAGGGCGTCGCACCAGCGACGCCGCCAGCGGCAGCGACACCGCCGCAGCGACCAAGTTCGCCACCTCCCGTCTCAAGCCCATCGCCGCAAATCATGGCGCACGGCGCAGCGCGAGTGCCCATTCCAGCATGCTCATCTTGGTAAATGCGGAGGTGTATACACAGGCGGGGGACATGGTGGAGGGTAGCTAGGGAGAGCGAGATAGAGGAGAGGGCGAAAACACTAAACTGGCGTGGCATGGCACGAGCACCGATACCACTGTTGCAACACTGTTTCGCAGCACGCTGCGCGAAACAAACACATGCTTGCATCGACGGTGCCTCGCCACGGATGCTGGTGATGCAACTCGTCATCCTTCTCCTCCTGAGTATCCTCCTGACCCTCCACGAATGAATCGTTTCACCCCCCTTCCCGCCTCATCCTACTCGTGCTACTGATTATTGTGGCCCTCGCTTATTTAGGACAGCCTCTCCATTTAGGACAGCCCTGCCAGGTGTCGATTACCCCCCTTCTCGCGACTGAAATCATGAGATTGTCCGTCCGAGCCGGGCGGTCGAACTGGGAGCCGGCGGTACACCGTCAACCTTGGCAAACGCCGGGAACTCGCGGAGCTTCCCTGCGATGTACATGAGTGGGATGCGGGCGCGGCAATCTCGCATTCCGATCGCTCGAGGGTGCGATTTCATGGAGGAAGACGCAGAAGAGAAGGAGCACGGGGGAGAAGGAGATGGAGGTAGCAAGGGAAGAGAAGGAGGACGAGGAGAAGAAGCAAGATGAGGATGAAGAGCAGGAGTGGGAAGGGTGAAAGGGGAGGAGAGGGGCGATGATGATGATGACGATGAAAGGGAGGAGAATAAGGTGGGGGAGGTAGGGGAGGAGAAGAAAAAAGAGGAGAAGGAGCAAATGAGGGAGGAAGAGGAGGAAAAGGAGGAAGAGGAGACGGAGCAGCAGGAGAAGAAAGAGGGGACAGGAGGAAGAAGAAGAAGAAGGATAAGGAGGACGCGAAGCAGGAGGGGATTTGGAGGGGGAAGTTTCGAGAAGTGTGTCTAAGCTTCTTAGCCAGCCTACAGCTCAGATGAAGTGGAGACAAATATCATCATCTCAGAGCAAAGAAATTGCAGAATACGGGTAGTTGTTCGGACCCAGTTCTGGTAGCAGGCCGATCTCAGACATCTAGATTCTCAGAAATAGCGTTTCTGCTGGTGTTCCTCCGATTGCTGCACCAAACAGCCGTTTAGCTTATCTGCAGCTCGAGCTACATCAAGAAAGTCATCGCAATCTATTAAAAATGAACTAGGTTCGAATAGTTTATCGGACGCAGCTCTGGTAGCAGAGCGAGTTCAGACATCTAGAAACTTGAGACTAACGCGCATGATGATTTCCTTACGATGAAAGAGCCGAACAGATCTGCAGCTCATCTGCAGCTCGATTGAAGTCAAGAAAGTCATCATCAGCTCATACAAGCCTAGCAGAGAACGAATAGTTTTTCAGATCCAACTCTGGTAGCAGACCGAGTTCGCAAATCTGGATACTGCAGACAAGCGCTTCTGATAATTATGTTTCGATTGCTGCGCCGAACAGCTCTGTAGCTCATCTGCAGCTCGAGTTAAGCTCAGAAAACCATCATCAGCTCTGAAACAAGTTAACAGAATACGGATAGTTTGTTGGTCCAAGCTCAGATAGCAGACGAGTTTGGACATCTATATACTTGAGACTAGCGCACCTGATGATTATAAATAAGGTGTGTCTCTCAGCTCTGTAGCTCTTCTACAGAAGATAGCACTAACAACCGATCCCGCCCACATGCTTTTTGGCAGTAATATGTACCCGACCGACCTGAGATAAAGATGGCGAGCGGGAATAAGATCGAATACTCCCGCGCCTCATGCTGCTGCGATGCGGGAACCACTGGCGGAAAAGTGGCAGCCAGCCCTCTCGTTCGGCCTGGGCCCTCATGCTGTGCCACTGCACGTTCGGGTTCCTCATCCCACCCCGCTGCCCGTAGCGCCCAGACGGGCGCTTTTTTCCAGAGCCGCGGCGCCGGTTGCCACATATGGTTATTGTCCTGCTCTGGGTCTCGACGCCCCAGAACGTCCCAGACTTCTCGTCGAAGCTGAAGTAGCGCAGCTCGTCGATGTGCATGTCGTCGTCGTCATGGGTCGTGACGGGCTCGGCGGGCGTGCCATCGTCGGCGACGGGCTTGCTCTCGGTGATGCACTGGTCGGCGACGGGGTTGCTCTTGTCGCGCTCGGGCTTGCTCTCGTCGGCGTCGGGGATGCTCTGTTCGGCGCCTGGCTTGATCTCGTCGCGCTCGGGCTTGCTCTCGTCGGCGTCGGGAAAGCTCTGTTCGGCGACTGGCTTGATCTCTCTCTCTCCAGTATTCGGGGTCCCGCTATTGGTCCACATGTGGTCGATGTTCTGCCCGTTGGGGTACCACTCGAGGCCCATGGTCTCAGCAGGGTGGTCGGAAAACTACGGGAATGCGGTTCTCGGCGGGTAGGTTGGAAGCGTTTGGGATTGCCACCAGCCTTCCAGCGACATTGCCACCCAGTCGGGCACCCCTTGTGGGGCGTCGCAGCCTTCGTACATGGAAACCGCAATAGTTGGGCACTCGTGGCGCTCATACATGCTTGAAGCCGACACAACCGTGGGAGACGGGGGCTCAGTGGAAAAAATAATGAACCGAAGCCCCCCCCCCTGGAGGCCTTGATCGCGCTGCTGCAGAGCCCGTGGGAGGTGCCAGCATCGCATAGCACCGCATAGCCTCGCATAGCCTCGCATAGCATCGCATAACACCGCATAGCACCGCAAAGCATCGCATCGCATCGCATCGCATCGCTTGGCATGGCATGGCATGGCATGGCATCGCAAGTCATATCGTGCATATTGCATAGCGTTGCCTGGCACCGCATAGCATAGCTTAGCAACGGAACGCCCGGGAAGCGAACGCGCCGCTCGGGGAGGAGGTAGAGGATGAGGATGAGAAGGAGGAAGACTGTATCCTACCGGCCTTCGGCCCATCCCGCCACCGCGCCTGCTTTCGCGGTCTCAGGCCTCTTGTGCGTGGGTTGGGGTCTCGTGGTTCGCCTCTGGGGGTCCCCCGGGAGGAAGTTTGGAGGTCACCACGTAGCCGCTTGGGCTCCAGATCCAGAACGTCGCGCAGATTCGCGCGGGGAGTTCGTCTTTTCGTGGGCGGCAGCCACAGCAATGGCACGCCGACAGGTGGAGCGGCCAAAAACAATAATTGTGGACGGCAGGCGCGTCGGCTCGCCATACATTCAAATGGTCGAGGGGCACTACAAGTGCCTGCCGTGCAACGTGTGGCTCCAGACGCCAGAGCATTTGAAAAAGCTTCAGCATAGGAACAAAGCTTGGCACTGGTGTTTCGGGTGCAATGAGGCAGGCCACCGACAAAAGCCAAAATGCCAGACGGCTGAATGGGCGTCGAGGGAAATCAACGAGCGTTATTGGAGGAACAGCCCTGGCAGTGCCGACGTCGGCGGCAGCGGGCCCGCTTGGTCCAGGACGGCGGAGGCAGCAGTGCAACGCGGAGCTGCTGGCGCAGAAGGTGGAGCCGCTGCAAAAGATGGAGTTGGCAATGAGTCCGTTCAAAACGGAGCTGCTGGTTCAGCAGATGGAGTCGCACATGTTCGAGCTACGGTGGCACGCCTCGGAGCTGCTGGTTCAGCAGATGGAGTCGCACGTGTTGGAGCTCAGGATCCCGGAGAGCACGCGGAGGGGAGCGACGACGCGGCGAATCTGCAAGCGTTTGCACCCGAGGTGGCGCAGCTCTGGGAGACCATGGCGGGCATGAAGGTGAGCATCGGGGACATTCAGACGAACATCTTCGAGCTCAAGGAGGGCATGAACGACTTGACGTCTTTCGCCTCAAAGCTGGGACACAAGATCGACAAGCATATGGAGTGGAGGAGCTCATGCGCCCCCAGACCATGGAGAAGGAGGAGAAGACGCAGACGTTGGAGTTCAAGGCCCTTGATGAGCACAAGAACAGTTGGCAGGAAGTCATCGTGGCGCAACAGTCGATGCAGAAGCAGATTCAGGAGTTGAAGGGGCAGGCGACGATGATCGAGACGGTGGTGAACAGCATGTGCCCGAGGGGCCGTGCACTGCGGGGTCGAGATGGAGGACTGGCTTCTTCGGCCAGCGCGGGGTCGCTGCCAGGGCCGCCATGCAGGACGGAACTACTGAGCGCCAGCGCCGACGCAGCTCTGGGCCCAGCAGCGCAGGTGTAGGCCACATGCGTCTACACCGAGCGAGATGCGCCAGTTTTGCCCGCTACAGTGGATGGTGGGGGATCATGCACAAGAAGATGGAAGAACGCAGATTGCAAGGTAGTGATATGCAACATTGGGAGCCAGCGGTAAACCGTTAACCTTGGCGGGGCGTTCTGCGTAGGCCGATTCGAGCTACCACAAGAGCAGGCCAGGACACAAGGAAGATACCTGACAGCGAAGCTGTACAGTTGGCAGCGAATCTGGAAGATAAAAAGCAGCGAAGTTACCAGATGAGATCCGCGGGCACTATCTCCACAGAAGCGTGCACAAATCAAACACACCTGCCAATAGGCTCTGCGAGGCAGCAAGTTCAGCCTGAGTGATGGTACAGTGGGAAAGGAGCATGAAAGCCCGCCTGGCAATACCAGGCAGCCATTTGTTAGAAGAAAGCCCAGGAGGAGAGGAAGAAAGAGGCAGGTTGGAGGAAATACAAAATTCGATCACCCAACCACATGATGTGCCAAACTCGCATCTACCGCCATCAAAGGAGCCCCACTGCCGCATGTACAAAATATTGACCCTCACGAATAAGTCTGAGTATGGTGTGATCCCACCGAACATCCGTTGTTGCTTGTCGTTCTCTAGCCAGATGTGCCGTATGGTCCGCCTCCTCATTCCCCTCCCGACATACCCCCTTCCAGATATCCCGTCCTGCTTCTGGGCTAAGTAGCTTATATCGCTTACATAGTGCGTACAACTGGTTCTGCATACTGGCGATGGTGCGCGTGTACACTTCGCTCAAGCACGTATATCGGCCCGTCAACCATCTAGTTACACATTGACTCTCTCCCCGCAGCTCCATACACAGCCAGTCCGCGTTAATCCTCTACCGCGTTTCATATGAGAACAAAGCCGCCCATATTTTAGCCTGACGGTCGACTTCCTTCTGTTGTTGTGCAGCACTATCCTCCTTCTCCTCCTTCCGACGCATGCCCGAAGAGGCGTCCTTGAACAGGCAGAACTCTAAAATCTTTGTCAGCTCCAGTTGTCTGAGCGTGTCGACTAGAAACGATTTCCAACCCTGCTCCGTCCAACACATACACTGATCCCAATGAGGCCCCCGTGTGATCTCAAATAGGGTGAACCAAGGATAGAGGCCCTGCACGACACGATGCTGGCATCGACGAGTGTAGGCACGGCCCCGAGATCCAAGAGAACAAATCAAAGCATCTCTATGCTCAGTAGATTTGCCCGATGCATGGAGCATGCAAAGCGCACTCTGCATTGAGGGAGTAGGCCACATGTCCGAATAGTCATGACGTTCACGCTTACGAGCAGGTGGAGGAACAGGTGTATATTCTAAAGAATCCGCACTGTCACAACGCTGGCGCACCACACGTCTCATATCACTTCTCTGTTGACGACGAGTGCGAGAAGGCGCAGGAGTACTGTGTATATGTGCCACGGGCGTGCTACACAAGATATCAGGCTCCAAAGATTCCTGAGAAAGAATCCCCTGACTTAGATATTCCAGTGCGTGTCATTCTGGACTACCGTGCGCCGTGCACACAACATGTTTTGCAGACAACCACTGCCGATACAAAGTAAGCTGCACAAGCGTTGGCCGAGAAGCATTGAGCAATAACATTCTCGCATAGTCAGCCCACGTCTCAGCAGGCCTCTCACGACGACGGCACATGGCGGAAAGAAATTTACCCTCCTCCACGTGTAGCAACGCCAAACTATTCACATCACAAGTCGCGCCCTCAATGCCGTACAAGAACGAGCTCCGCACCCGACTGTCATACCTGTTGAACTTCCGCGTCATCGGTACCAATGGGCTTTCATAGAAGGCCCGATCCATCCAGAAGTTCTTGCGAGCGGCAGCGATGCGGCATTTGATGTCTTCCTGCTCAGAGAATTCCGTATCCAACAGAGTGCCCAAGACAACAATGCGAGCAACCTGCGGGATCTCATAGGTAAGATACTGAGGCTGATCCAAGAGACTCGGTAAGCACGGTAATCTGGAGTGGGCGCTGAGACCAACACACCCACAAGCAAGGTATTCTAACGAGCTCTGCTTCCAAGCAAAACTATGCGCATGAATAGACTCCGTCAAGTCAGTAAGCATAGATAGCATATCCTCCCGCCTTGATGCAGCAAGGATGACATTGTCTGCCCACAACCAATGATTAACAAGCAACAGGGATGCCTCAATCGATAACCGTACACCAAAACCACGTTCACGCCACCTTGCAACAACAGGCGATCACATGCACAGAGACTGGCGCCGGCGGTGAACCGTCAACCTGGTTTTTTTGGGGGGGTTCGCACCGTTTGTCCAGCAGGGTCAGCTGGCGGTGAGGATATTTCGTGCCAAATGCACAACAGCGCTTGAGAGCGCCTCAGCAGCGCTGAGCTCGGCGTCGGTTATCGTAGCACCTTCCTCAAGGCACCACGCGGCTTCGCACACGTCCCTCCAAACGAGGGGAGTATTGGAGGGCACAGAATAAGGAGAGGAGGAAGGAAGAGGGGAATTGGAGGTACTTGTATTGCAATCATACTCTCGATTCACAAACCCGATTTGAAGCCAGAAACCACACCCCGTACCTTTGCTGCATACTCCCCCGTCGAAGGCACCACGACAGGCGAAAAGATGGAGATAACTTTCAAAGTTGAATATGTATTCATACTGGTTGTAGAAACAATGGCCCTCGCGGGCCAAGTGCGTGAGCTCGTCTGCCCGTGTGTTGTCCTCCCTATATTCATGCTGATACAGATCTTTCCCCAGTCCCGAACTTCTAATCCCCAACTCATGTGCGGTCCGTTCCATTACTTCAATACAGCGATCAATACGGCATTGGTATTGTTTGTTGCGACACCGCCATCGTCCCGTTAGCCATGAGTGAACTATCATGCTAACACCTTTCATTTCTACTGCAAACCCAGGGCTAATGATGTCCCAAACAGTTTGTCTTTCATTGATCGTAGCCAATCGCATGGCCATCTTCATTGCCTCTTTTCCCGTTTGCGCACGGTCCCCATGTCCAGTCTCCTCGGGCGGTGCATTCTGCGCTGCGGTCCCTTTCCAGTTCTGAACAAAATAACCAAAGATCTCTGTTATATTGTATGTACATAGTATATTCTGCCACATGTCGAGGAATGCTCGGTATGATGGAACCACCTCTTGCCACCACGTAGTGCCATATGATAATATATATATATATATATATATATATGGATACTGCCAGCTCCTCTGGCCAACACTCTCTGGTCCACAGCGTATTCTTTTGCAAGATGAGGCATGTGTCCGATTTGCGTGCAAACGAAGACACTCACTCAAAGTATCCCTGCGTGTCGTCCACTCAACATTATACATCAGAAGCCCTCGACGAGAACCAACATATGCACGATTGTCCTGAGATTGAGCCACCAGGGATGTGCGCGATGAACCTTGAGACATATTACAAGCATCAGGCGGGGAGACGGAAGGCACAGAAATGTGCTCCGAAGTCGCCGTCTGACTCCCCGATATTGTGCCACCAAAGCCTAATCTCAATCCTGGAACCCTGCGTCTTTTGAGATTCTGTCTATTGATGTCCGTGCGTTGTATGCTGATATGGTGGGCCAGGTTCTGAGAAAGGTCCTCCAGTCTATGTGTTAAAGAATGGCCGTCCTGTGCAATCTGTCATGTTCTGAACCAGAGTTTGTGATGATGGCTCCTCAAATCGAACTCTTTTCTGCGATGGCTCACCCACCTCAGTTGGCCTCGGGGTAAACACGTCCGCTGCCTGTGTACTCCCTGCCCGTGGGCCTGAAAGAATATGATTACGAACACTGAGCATCATCGTCCAGCTCTTCCATGCAATCATCTGAACAGCCGGAGGGAAGTGCCCACTGGCAAATGCGAGCGCACCTTGTGGAGCATCTCAGGTCTCCGCACACCCCATGTTATGTTTGACGGTTTACGGCGACACCACATACGCAACAAACACCTACCTTCAAAAGCATGAATTGCACGAACCGCCTCGGCATCGAGCGTGATCATTTCCCCTGCAAACAGGAGCCGCGATTGAACCTGATACTGGTATCGTCGATACGTGTGCTCCAGCGGCACAGCTCTGCACCCAAAATATGATATCTGAGCAAAGAAAGCGCCCCGTGCACATTTGAGACGACTGAAGGTCCTCATGGCCCTCACGAAAGCTGCTGGAGACCACACTGCCCAGGATATTGAGCGACTCAACCTGTTTGAAAACAACCCGCTGGTCCCCAACTTGTGCCCAAATTGGTGCCCCGTCTGGAGTACCACAGCGGAGAATCTGCAAAGACGACGCCTTCCAACTCATTCCCCAGTCATTCAGAGCAACAGTGAATACATTTACGATCTCCTGGATCTCCGTCGAATCCCTCCCCACTAGGTCAAGATTGCCAGCCCAAAGTGCATGATTGTAGGTATGGTAGGCGCTGGGGTCGTGGGGGTCGGGGATCTCGTAACCTATCTTGCGAACGCCGAGAGAGGCAACCACACTGGCCCACATGGCCACCGCCACGATGTTGAAGGCAAGCGGGCTTTCTGTTCCCCCCGTCCTCAGATTTTATCCCAAGACACACCACGTAGTTCGATACCCTCGAAGACGATCGCGCAATTCGTTTCGGCGAGCGGCTCGAGCAGTGCGTACTGTAGGCGTGCTGGGATCTCGAGCTTGTACATCGCGCATGCAAGCGTGCTCAGGGTCACGTTGTCGAATGCTCGTGCAATGCCCGCTGATGCTATACATGCACTCTGGTCTTTACCCCAGATAGACGCGTGCTGTGCAATACCCTTGAAAGCTGCAGCGATCTCCCATGTGCGCCTGCCTCCTGCGAAGCCGTACAAACCGAGCGTACCTTTCCAAAGAGCAAAGAGCAATCTTCTCCTCGATCAGCAGCGTGACTGATGTGAGGTACCATTTCCCCAGGGTGTTAGAGACAATGAGATTACGAGTGTCCTCAAGAGACTCCATATCTGCCATCCT